TCGGATCACAACTATACAAAAAAATTTAAAAGAAAAAAAAAATGGCCCCTTTACTCCGCCTAGTGGCAGAGGCCGGCCCTTTAGCGCGGTGTGTTGGGGCGGAGGTCGAATCACTGGGCAGAGGGGGACTTATGTGTCCCGGATCACAGTTCTATAAGCAATCTCCCTCAGTTGACTCTCAGTTCCCCGTCATTTTGCGGACAGCGCCAGCGACTGAGTGGAACAGGGCCGCTGGAGATCGCCTGGAAACTCCGCAGCAATATTGCTCTTTCTCTCTTTTCCGCTCTTCGGAGGCGGCGCCTGAGTCTGCGGCTGCGACAGACTCCGCAGATTTGGGAGAAAAAGTGGCTGCGCGCGCCTCTCCTCGCAGGGCACGACCAGCTCTGCCGCAGAGGCAGCAGCTATGACTCAGGCGGATGCCCGGGCAACAAGTCCCAGCAGTCGCAGGCTTTGGGGTCCCCAAATTGCAGCTGCCCACCCTCTGCTAGTCAGCGCTGAAGCTGACTGCACCAGGAGGGCATCCGGAGCCAGGGTCCGCCGTTGCCTATTCCCAGACCTGCATCCGCCTGCCGAGCCCACCACGCACCTTACCCACGGCGACTCTGGACCGATCCGTGGGAGGACTCTGTGCTGTGTCCCTCCCAGCACCCGCGGAACTTTCAGCGATTTCCGGGGGTAGAGCCTCTTTTATGGAGTTCCCCTCCCCCGATCCAGTCCTGGCAGTCTCCTGTGGCAAGAAGCTGTCTCCAAACTCTCCCCTGTGGGCTCGGGCGGCGTCCGATCTGGGGAGCACGCGCTCGGGCCGGTCCCTCCCCTCCGATGCCGACCCAGCGCCGCGCTCCGCTGCGTTCCAAATGGACCCCGCTCCTGTCTCGGCTCCCCACCGCCTGTTGGTCTGTGCTACGACCTCGCACTGACCTCTGGCACTTCCCTGCCTGCGTGGGAGTGGGGTTTGGTGAAGGAAGAGTCATCTTCCTATGGGTCAGATTGCACTGCCCGGGCCAGCCCGCCATGGGGCACGGCCATCCCGTGCTGCCTTTCCCCTTTGTCCCAACTCTCCGGTAATTTGCGAGTCCTTTTTGAGTTCACCTGATTTTATCCGCGGGACTGCTTGTCCCTTGCTGCTTCTCTGTAGATTCACGAAGCTAATCCTGTAGGGGAGCGCCTCGCCCGCATGTGGGTGTCCGTGTTCTTCACCTCCCACTCTGGGAGCAGAGAGCCAGGAGGTCACCCCTAATCCGCCATCTTCCCAACCCCCCCGACATTTTGCCTTTTAAAATGAGCATTGTATCTCTTTCCACCATTCCCTTAGTATTTTGATCCCGTGTTTGTCTCAGCCCCTGGATGTACGCAGGGCATTGGTTCCAGACCCTGGCCCCAGAATCTGCACATGCTCAAGTCACATTGTCCACCTGCTGACCCCACGTGTATGAAAGCTCAGCCCTCCGTGTACATGGCCCCCGCAGCCTGCCAGTGCTGTTCTCAATCTGCCTTTGGTTAAAAAAAATCCGAGTATAAGTGGACCCATGAGGTTCAAGCCTGTGTTGTTCAGGGTCAACTGTATTTAGAATTGGGGGAGAGTGAGGGGAGGGTGAGTTTTCAATCCACAAGTTATTTGGGGGAAACCTTGTCTTGGGCACAGGGACAGATGGAGGTGACATTTTTCACTCTCTGTGAGGAAGAACGGGGTAGAGGTGACGAGTCCAGAAAACCACAAAGACCTAGTCACAGAAACAA